CAAGGTATGCAAGATGCCTGTATGCAGGATTGTATCCAATATTGCACTATATTGGGAATTGTAGGTGAATCATTATATCATATTTGCAGTAGCTTACAGTATATTTTAATTTATCCTTTGCTTGTTTTCAGCTTGTTCATCCATGGGGTTGACTTACATGAAGACGTAACACAAGCTGTAGATGCCCTGCGTGAGAAGTTGACATGGGCAAGTAAACAGCTAAATGCTACAACAAGCATTCATGAGGCACAGACACTCGCAGCATTGATTTCAGATACCTGTAGGGCTATTTCTGCTCTAAGAGATCTTTAATGAGTGAGAAGATAACAAATATGTTGCTTTGTTTTAAAAGCCTTTAATCTCTGCTAGACTTATATTATTTTTGTGCTCAATTTAATTCCTCTTTTTGGAACTATTAATTTCAAGGACTATTTTTCGCTGACAATTATAAAACATTGTATTGTTTCCAGGTCATCTCTTTAAGAATAATAACTTTACTGCAGTTGAAAAACACACCATATAATCTGGGCAGATATTACATAACACGTCATTTATTCATAAAGTGGCACCATTACACAAAGTCAGCATAACTTAGGTTTTCCTTGAGACACCCAAGCATGTCAAGTAGTGCTTATATAGGCTGTGATACTAGCCTAACTTATGAATATGCTGTATGTGACATCTGTGAATATAATAAATTGAATTATGTTTAGTTATGTTTTATTATGAGATTTTTTTTCTTTACCATGTGGAGAGGAATATATAAAAGAGGATTAAAGTTTTCATTCATTTTTATTATGAATCCTCAAAATACATACTAAATACATATGACTGAGCAGAACAACTATTACCTGCACAACTGAAACATTTTACATATTATGGGAGATGGATGTTGAATGGCTTGTTCCCTAGATATATAATTAATACATAAACTTTATTTTCTGAAGATGAATGATGTAGAGTATATATTTTGTTAAAGCTAATATGAAAATGGAACAAAGATAGTCACTTTCATTTTTAGTAACACAGGTCTTACAAAATAAGTAACTTATTGTTCCACAAATAAACTAAATATAAAATTGTTAATTTTGGACTGGCAATTCAATTTTTGAATAATCAAGAACAGCTTCCTGATAATTATTTTACAGTCTTTCATAAAAAATACTATTATTCAATATTTAGTTCTGGAAAGCCTATATATATTATAAAAAAAAAAAAAAAAAAAAAAAAAAAAAAAAAAAAAAAAAAAAAAAAAAATTGGATAGGGGCGAGTCATATTACACACATGTACACAAGACATATTTCAATATGAGGTTGCAAAAGAATACCTTGTATCAAAAGTGTACAAGTTGTTTTACTTCAGAAAGAAACTGTAGTAGTGTGTTTTTTTTTTTTAGGAGGGGGGGGAGGAGAAGAAAGAGGGGAGAGAGAGGGGAGAGAGAGAGAGAGGAAAAAAAAAAAAAAAAAAAAAAGATGCATCTGTTGTGCTGTATTGCAATCTTTCATGAAATTTCATCTAACTTGAAAACGACCTAAGTACGCTGGTAACACACAAAAAGAAAATGGAAAATTAAGTCCAAGGTGCTTACGAGGATGAAGTGCATCTGTTTACAATTACACAAGAAAGAAAGAATACCAAAATAACAAACTACCAGTGTGATCAACACATTCATACAGACACACTGCTTCCATTCTACTTCATGTATGAAGTATTCATTTAATTTTATTTATTCTATGTCATTGAGTTCAGTGACAATGTGAACCTAACATAATTCACAAAAACTGAGGGGAAAGGTATACTATCATGCTTCACACTGGGTTTGTACTGTTATTTCCACTGCCCTGTACATTCCACAAGAAGTGATCCCAGCCACTGTTGTTTGGCTAGTGACTCTGGTGATAGCACAAAGTACCTTGACATTTTACTCCTATCAAGATTCACAAGATTTCAGAAACAGTTGAATGTATATCTGACCATTCACATATTATCTCTCTCATCCTAATTTAACCAAGCTGTTGACACAGTAACAGGAGACATCAACAGTGACATAAGACCACTCCAACAACTTGAAAAAGAGAAGAAAAAAAGAGGAGAAAGACAGGAAGTCGGTGAAGGGGAGGAAAACAAGAAAGGGGAGGGGGAGGGGGGAGGAAAGGGGAAGGGGAGGGGGAGGGAGAGAGGGAGAGGGAGAGGGGGGGATATGAGAGAGAGAGAGAGAGAGAGAGAGAGAGAGAGAGAGAGAGAGAGAGAGAGAGAGAGAGAGAGAGAGAGAGAGAGAGAGAGAGAGAGAAAGGGGGGAAGGAAAAGAGAAAGGGGGAGGGGTGAGAGGGAGAGAAAGAAAGAAGGGGAGGGGGAAGGAAGAGAGAGAAAGAGAAAGAAAGAGAAAGGGAGGGAGGGAAGGAGGGGGTGAGAGAGAGAGAGAGAGAGAGAGAGAGAGAGAGAGAGAGAGAGAGAGAGAGAGAGAGAGAGAGAGAGAGAGAGAGAGAGAGAGAGAGAGAGAGAGAGAGACCTACTCAATGTGCAGCAAGATTTTTATCATGTGTGACATCTGAGAGAGGTCACACAGGTCTGATCAGTGTATCCACTCATTATCTTTTATCCCCAGCTTGCTTTCTTCTTAAAATCCATTGTATTTTCAGTTCTGTCCTTATGATGAGCTCTTTCATTGGAATCAACATCTCAATTTGCTTTAGCTGCTTGGCGCCGGAGGAGGATGTAAATCTTCTCTTTTATCCAGTCCTTGTTGTAAGGTGCATAGGTGTTTGTGCTTTTTTGGTACCTAGAGGAGAAAAGACAAGGTAATCAGGATCAAGGCATCTTTCATGAAGAAAATTATTCTCAGGATTTAAAACATCATATATGAATGAAACATTGTGTAATATAATGCTTGTGTGATGATTCTTCTCAACTATCATAATTTCCTTAACATATTTTCTCATTCCTTTTACAAAGCTACAACATATATTTCACTTCAATCCTGGAAGATAAGCAGGAATAGGAAAGGAAGGTGCTAAAAAGACATCAGTGAGCCTCAGATGCAGAAACAGAGGAGGAGGTGAAAAAGTAATATTATAAAGAAAATAATAAATAAACACTTACACAAGACAGGAGAGGTCAGCTAACTGATCTATGAAGTCAAAGAGCTGTGATATATCATACGTAATGCTTGGTGTGTTGGGGTTCATCCTCTTCAGATGCTCTTCATAGATCTTACAAACACCTGCTTAGAGTTGACGCATGGAAGGGAGAGAATTAATATGGATTGTGGGGAGTGGTACAGTTATGTTAAAAAAGTGACAACAGCCACATTACTATGTTACTCTATACTTTTAAAGAAATATCAGGAACCAAAGCAAATTCCCGACTCTAAAAAAGCGTGAATATCAGTACCAGGCTATTGGCAACTTTTTTAACATAACCAGTTAAAAATAACATTTTTTCATTTGTGACTTATTCACAAGTCTGATAATTACAGACAAAATCTTAAAATTCGTGTTTAGGTTTAATCTAAAATTAAAGTACAAAATTCCAAACACTTCTCAAAATATAATAACCCATTCACGACAGGATTATACTTTTGCCCTAACAACCCCCACAAATTTTAAAAAGAAATACAGCTAAAAGGAGGCTTTCAGCCAACTTCACAGTTACTGTATCATTTCAATGATGGCAAGTAAAGGAGGAGACCCATCTGCATGTAGCATGAATAATTGCCACCTGGCATTCAGGCCTAGTTCACTATGATGTGATTATTCATCATCTGTCGTTGTGGGTTATTCTTTAACCATTATAAATTGACTCAAGTGCTTATTATGAATATTCAAAATGAAGTATAATTTAATTCTTAAATATGCAAAAAAAAAAAAGTAAACCATTACAAGGCATAGTGATTAACCACACAATTACTCCCTATCAAATAATAAGAAAAATAAATTAAGAGGAACATCCACATAAGATATCTAATGGAGGAATATAATTTAGGTATACATAAAGTTGCCAATATTGTAACATGTCTAATATGCTAGAATTAACATGAAGAGAATTACATGAAATGGAAAAGGAAAGAAATGAAAAGAAAGAAATAGATCAAGAAGAAAGTAAAAGAAAGAAAACATATATTAAACATGACCAAGAAATCATCAGGACTCATTGGAAAATGGATTGATTTTTACAAGAGCCAGTTACCAACCTGTACAGCCTAGGATGATCAACCTACCTTCCATACACTCATTGACACTCTCATAATCAGAAAATGTTCGGGTCTCTGGTTTCGGTCCTGGTTGTACTAGTAAAATTGTGTGAGCCTGAAAAATTTGAAATAAACTATCAGTCAAAATGCTGATAATGCAGTACTATGTATGTGCTCATGAACTATTCACCATGAAGCAGATTTTTTTTCTTACAGAAATAAATTATCAGAAAAGTGTTTGGATATGTAAATACTATCTGGTCCCTTACATCTTGCCAGTCTATGTCTGTTAACCCATTCCCGCCGGGCATGCCATGCCATGGCCACTGTGAGATTACTTGTTAGATTGTTTTCACACATAGATGGCTACACTTGTACTAAATTACCAATGAGCCAGTTACGAGTACCGCCTGTCTCGCCCGTTCACCCTTTTCTTTGATTTACGAAATATTTTACGGTATCTTATTTTGCTGTTACTAATGTTAAAAAACATTATAAAAATTGCAATGTTTATGATAAAAATAACACCATCGATATTCATGGCACTAGTGAAAAATACGTGTTTCAAAGCAGGCGCTAACAGAGCCATCTATGGGCAGACATTTAACAAAAAAGTATAGAAAATAGGCACAGCATTTTCCCCATTTTTTGTTCATTTTCCCCGGCGGCAATGGGTTAAAAATGTGAAAAGTTGACTCATATGCAACCTCTGACCTCCAGTTAACAGACAGAGATGTTAAGAATAAGACCATGCCAAGACAGAGAAAAACAAAATCAAGATCCAGGACTGGTTTCAAGTTCTTATAGATTTTCTTTGGCTTTTCTATAGATATTTCTTTTTGTATTTACATATCTGCAGGTTATTGTTTCCTGGGGGAAGGGCATATGCAGGAATGATCTGATCTTCATTGGTCTACAGCTCTAAGTCAATATGTCCGAAGAGATATAATGTGTCTTTTTATTACAGCATTAGCAACAGCATTAGTACTGCAATCTGAATATATGAGTTCTATGGACTACAGCTCACTGCAACACAATCCACCTTCTACCTACTGCACATATGCCTTGGAACTTGATGATCACTGGAGAGAAGTGCCCAAAATCAATTCTTATATGAGCATTTTCAAAAGATCTTTGTATCTAACTGATTTTCTATTAATTCTTTCACATAATTTTTCCATCAACAATACAATAAGGAGTACACAGACTCATAGCTCTGTGAGAAGTGTGAAGTTTTATCCACTTTAAATCAATAGTAGTAGCTACATCCACATAAATTTAAGTAAAACTGATATCAAACTCAAAGTTTCACAGTGAACTCATCTCATGTCAAAACTTCATCAACCCCTTTTTACCTAGTATAAGTACTGTCCAATGCAAAGTCTGTTGCACATACATGGCTCCACAAGTGCACAGCCTCTAAGGAGTCAATTTGTAACCCAAAATGACCATGTGATTTCCCAATTTCTTTTAACCCTATTGCGGTTACATGTGATGTCCAATGTAATATAAGTTTATTTATTGAATTAACACATAATACAAGTTTATTTATTATACTTACACATAGATGGCTCTACAAGTGCTTACTCAGAAAAGAGTCGGTTATTAGTCATACGTATCTCACCTGTTTACCCTTTTCCTTTACTTTTGGAAAGTCTTTTGCATTATTTCATTGTCTCAAATGTTACTGAGATTTTAATAACAATTTAATAATCATAACATCAAAAACAATTATAACAGTATCGATGTCAACTGTATTAAAGAGAAAATTAATCATTATTTATTTATCAAAAAAATTCTGCCATATCAATATCTCAAGTCCTTTGTAGCATATTCAAAATACACTGTCAAGGTGATGCTTGGAGGTGAAGTTTTGGGTTTGTGAGGCAGTGCTTGCAGATTCTCAGAATGGGGATCCCAACATTGAGGCCCAGACTCTGTCTCTAAAGACCCCTAAAGACAACAGCGAGTAAGGGGCTGGGGAGCCTCTCAACTCATTCTATACCTTTGCAAAGAACAAATTATCATTATATTATTATTATTTATAAAAATTCTGTTGCAATAATGACTGATAATAACATCATTACCATGTTCTTCCTAAATTTATAACAGTCATCACACTATAACTATCACTATAACTATCAACTATCATTTCTCTCTTTCTCACCTGTTTATCCTTTTCTGTGATTTTTGGGGAGATTCTTCATTATTGTTAATATTAATCTAACTTTATTATAATCATAATGAAAATAATAATAATCACATCAATGTTAATAACATTAGAAAAAAAATCTCAAAATACAAGGAATGATAAATCTGGTGCTGGGCCTACTAACTGACTACATGGTGACTGAACAATTGAGGAGCCCTCTATGTACATGTAGGAAAAAATTCACAAAAAAACTAAACTGGTCAATACATGAATCCATGACCACTGAGTTATGGGGTACCCAGCACCAAAAAATCAACTATATATACATCATATCAATCTCGCCATTTTAGATTCTCTAATTCTCCATTGTTATGAGTATTTTAAACCATCCGGGCGACATGACCATCATGTCATGAAAAAATCCAGGGCGGGTGATGTGAACATGCTATCACAAGGAAAGCTGGCTGTAGGCCAAGTGACGTGAATCTGCCATCATGAGCATTGCGGCTGAAGGCCGGGGTGATGGAAAAGACTAGCCACAAGCACAGAAACCTATTGGGAGATTTATTTAACTCATTTGGCAATTTTGCAATATTTCTATCAATGTATGAATGTGGAATGAAATGCTTGGGAGCAATGACTGAAAGAGCACTGGCTCCATGGAAGATGCCATTTCTATGCTCAGCATCGTATTCCTGGCGCCGTGAGCAGCAATGCAAGTTGTTTTACAGAAGATTGAATATTACATAAAAAAGGACAAAAGCAACATAGTATTACATAGTTTTATTTTTATTGCACTGAGATGTGGACTATCTTGTGTGATAATTGGAGTCAGTGAAAAGAAAAAAACTATTACCATCTGGAAAATGCAAATCAAATAGCAAATATGGACACTAGAAAATGTCCAAAAGTCTGAAAATGCTTATGAGTAAAAAGAGTAAATAACTTTGCAAATAGGAGGCACCGAGTCTTGCCACCGCACACGTGTTTGTGGTGGCACCCGGGGAAATTAGGCACAGTCACTAGGGTCTATTGACCAACTCCTTGATAGGTGAGCATTTGTGTAGCCATCTTTATGTAATAAAATTCTCTCTCACACACACACACACACACACACACACACACACACACACACACAAAAAAAAAGATAGTATATTAGAGTCCTCCAGGTCATCACTGTTGGGAACTGGGACTACTATCCACTGTTGTTTTTAGTTATTTCCAAGAGATTTTGCTCAAAAAAAAAAATAGAACAATATTTTGAACTTGTGCATGGCTATTATATACCTTATATGACTGTCCTTTTAGTAATTTTTATTTTCACACAGCCATCCAACCCTGCAATTATCCGTCCTTGTTTCAATTATTCACATAGTAATTTGCAGGACTCTTTCGTTATTTCCTGGGTATCCACAAACATTGCTGTATGAACCAAAAACTTCCCTAAACCCTATACCCCCACCCTATTACTGTATTTCCCTATTGTGGCACCGTCCCCGGACCTCCACCCAACCACTGTGGCCTTTGGCTCCTCTCCATGTGGCACCTGCCTTGACCTATTTTCTTCACTTCTAACAATATCATTTTCTTTAGCAGTTTATCTCATGTATCAGGGAGGCAAGTTTTTTTTCCTTTCTTTATAATAATCATTAGATTTTCCTATAAATCCATGCCAAACTATTGTGTGTTGCACAGCTTTATTATTAACTAGTGAGGGAAATACCATAGATGGAAAAAGTCTTATTTTCTGTTGCTCCATCCATTACAGGCAAAGTTTACCTTTTGCTATACAGCTGTGTGTGACTGAAACTATAATGTCCTCTGAGAATGCGACATTCTACTGGATGTCAAGGTCAATTTTAGTGTTGGATGCCATTTTATAAATGCTCTCAAGTACATACAAGAAGAGACCATACTACAAATATATCCATTATTTATTCATGCACTCTCAAAATCCAAATCTAACATTTCCTACCTTCTGTTTACTCCCTAGACAGGGAGGCAAGCCCCTTTATCCCCCCCTTTATTAGCACTTTGTGCCAGCTTATAAAAAAACACAACATTAAAAATACTGGCTGTGTGAGGGTATTGTAGATTTCTTCTCTGAGCAATGATATGCAGGGGATATTATAATTATTTTGCTGTAAATATGATGCCAGAGCAGCTGTACCTGTGTTGCTTATTAATCTATTTATGTGCTCTGTAAGATGGCAGTGCCTAATTCACTCTATTTCTGTGCATCATTCTTGGTAACAATAATCATATATCCATACTTACACCTTAAACCTAACTACCCTACAACATAACTTTAACATGGCCAATATTATCCTAATAAATATGGCAAACCATAACAAACAACAAAATAGCAAGAGAATACCTCCATATTACCCAAAACAAATATCACTATCAAACTATTGGCTAATCCTCGAACAAAGGGGGAGGCAATAATACATACATTTCTACAGTAAAATCTAGATTGTTAAATTCTAAAGAACAGTAAAGACGCGAAATTGTGGCATCGTTTTTCCCTCATAAAAGCCAGGAAAGGGCAGAGACGCCAAGCTTGTCAGTCTCACCTTATTTTATCGCCCCTTATAGAATATCTAATACCAAACTAAAAACAATCGTGGAAATACGCTTATCCGAATGGTGTGACAATTATAAGAAGGCTCTTACCATCTTAGCAAATAGAAATTCCTGGAAAAAACCTCCGTGGCCAAAGTGTGCGGACGTCCCAAGACAAGCCACAACACGGGTTGCGTTCGTTCACATCCGCAGCGGAGCTTCGCTTTTGTTGACCAAAATATGTCTAAAAATTAAAGTGCAAATGTATATACATAGATAATATTATACAGTGTGTATGAATAAATCGAACTAGGCTACATGTGTGAATCAATTAAAATATAAACAGATTATTAATATAAATATACCATTTTGTTTATTTTTATCTAAAAAGTATTTCAAGATATCTGTGTAATATGACATAGGGTATATATGTATATGAATGAAAATACGTACATATCTATACGTAAAGTACATACACACACACGCACCCGCACAAACACACACACACACACACACACACACACACACACACACACACACACACACACACACACATATATATATATATATATATATATATATATATATATATATATATATATATATGTATGTATGCATGTATAATCCTGCACCCTATAGAAATAAATTAATCAATATTGATGATGAGACCATTCTCCAGTTTACTTAAAAATAAGGACTGACTTTTCTTCTCAGAAAGACCAATATTAATGTCAAGTATGTTGATAGTAAAATAAATGTTCAAAACAAAACTGACAGTAGACATCGCGGATCTGAACAAAAATGTAGGGAACAGGAAATTACCTGTAGATATCATAGACAAATTGATATTAGGTGACTTCTGTAATATTCAGTGTTTTCTTACCCTATACATGTATGTACATAATGGTATAGCGCGTTTGGACATTTGCGGATGTCTTGCAAAGCTTGGATCAAGATTCTAAAAATGTCTATACTGTATTTGTAAATTCGATATAGCAAAACCATCAAAGGGAATGAAAATACAATTTACAAAACTTTTATTATTACATCACTGAAAGAGGGTTTAAAATAGAAGAGTCAACCCTCCCTCGCT